AAAGCAATTAACTGTGTGTGATGTGCGGATTGGTCCATTGTGGAAACCAACCGCTCTTTAATTTATCCCCCAATTTCTACAGGAAGCTATGTCTTGTTCTCGACTTGTGTGTCGGTTGAATGAGATTATCCATAATTTGATATCAAATGCTTTGTTTAAGATTATTATGAGTTAATACTAATTTTAATTCTTAAAATTTGACATCATTTTGATTTGCTTTTAGAATAGTGTTTTTGATTTTTGAGACAAGATTTTAAGAATCAAAATTATTGGTTTCAAATTTAGCAGCTAAAACCAAAATGAGATTGAGTTTTAAGAATTAAAGATGATACTACCTTCGGTTTTAATTATAAAATCTCATTGGTAGTTTACAAACGAAATCTTATAATTAGGACATAAGGTAATATTGGCCCAATTATCTTCTTTAGCATGTGATTTTGTAGAAGTTTTACATATAATTAATATTGGTTTATTATAAAATCACCTTCTCCACAGATTAATAAAACAAACAAAAACCATTTGATACGTGACTCGAGTCAAATGTTAAGAGAAACAAACCGCTGCACTAATTTTTTTTTACCGGTTAAAATCACCAAATGAATGTTGAAGTTTCATAATGGATAATATTTCTCCTGTTGTGCACAAATCCAGTCTCTTTAAAGATTTTAGTCATAGGTTACTACTCCCTCCGTTCTTTATTATAAGATCTAATTTTTAATAGATTTGTTCTTTTTTATAAGATTTTTTTTTGAATTTATCTAAACATTTAATGCATTATTACCTATTTTACCCATAGTTTAATATATTTAATATGTTCTCTTTCTTCATTTATCTCACTATTACTCTCTCACATCTACCCATTTATATATAAGGGCATATTTAAAAAAATTATATTTACTACATATTACTTCCTCCGTTCCTTATTATAAGAGACATTTGATGCTTATGGCATGTTCCTATATATAAGAGACACTTAAAAGTTATCTTTACTTTTTTGTGTTGATTTTCTATTTTACCCATATTTATTGTCTCCAACTCACACACTCTCTCTCCCACTTCTCTTTCTTTTAATAATTTAATTGTTCTCTCTCATGCTCTCTCTCTCCTTATTAATGAGGGTTTTTTGGAAAAAAATTATATTTTTTACACATTGATTGTTCTTAACTAATTTTAACTGTTTTTTAATCAACGTAATTCGGTTATTCGTCTCTTATAATAAGGAACGGAGGGAGTAATTGTCTTTAACTAATTTTAAATGTTTTTCTTAAACTGCGTAATTTAATTAAAAGGATTTTATAATAAGAACGGAGTAGTATTAGCTAACTAGTCTATGTGCATTTTACGCGTGACCTTTATTTAAAGAAAATAATTAAAATATACATTTAGTTTTTAATTTTATATAAGGTTTTAATTTGGTATCTAAATATACCTACTTTATTCATAATAGAGTATCTTTTTTTAATCAATATTAATTGGTATGGATTTAAGCGAGATCAAATCTTAATTGGTGAAAAACTTTCTTAACATGAATTAATGGTATGGATTGTTGGCCCAAAAAAAAGCGGATTAACATATCCAGTCCCTTAAGATAAATTTTCCGAGGATACGCTCATGGAAAATTTGGCTTCTCCTAGCACGTTTTTGTCCTTACGAAGAATTAACAAGTTAAGGGCTAAACTTGCAATTTTCATTAACTTAGAGGACATTCATGTTACTATTTATTTTACATTTTTTTTATCGGGCCAGTTAATGATGCTTGATTGTATTCCTCTTCGGCCCAATCAATAACCAGAAAATGGGCCTCAAGTATTATTTTTTTACCATCGCCCCTCGTGCATAATGTGGTCCAACGGACCATAACTTGCATGGAAATTAAATACTTTTTTTTTTGATGACCGGAAATTAAATACTATACATCCAATTCTTAATATAAAAACTAATTTGATATTTAATTTGACTCTAAATATAAATCTTAATTTATTTTATCTTTATATTTATCAATTCATTTTAAAATAATTTTTACAGTGATTGCACATGTTAAATGTTTCGTTAAAATAGTAATTCAACTAATACATTTGATTACCAAGAATATTTAAGAAAGACAATAACTACTGATTACATATGACTAACTTAACTAATTTGATATTTAATTTGACTCTAAATATAAAATCTTAATTTATTTTATCTTTTATATTTATCAATTCATTTTAAAATAATTTTTACAGTGATTGCACATGTTAAATGTTTCGTCAAATAGTAATTCCAACTAATACATTTGATTACCAAGAATATTTTAGAAAAGACAATAACTACTGATTACAGTGACTAACTTAACTAATTTTTTTTAATCTATTCAAATTAGTCAATAACTTTTTACTAAAGAAACAGGTGGGTGCATAATTATAGATGTAAAGACTTGGGAATAATTTATAAAATTTTAGCCAAAGTGGGTTTTGGTCTGGTAAAAAGAGCTAATTCCTCATAATATGGTGAGCCAAAGTCTAAATTCTCGTTAAAAGAAGTACTTACATTTAGTACTTGATAATATCTAGAACATGATTGCTTCAAATAAGAGAATAACTTTGAAAAAAATAAATATAAATATTTTTATGAGACTTATTCTAAAAGGGGCATGTATTGATTGTGCATAACATAATACTCCTCCGGTCCGTAATAGAGGATCCAATTGTTAAATTAGTTTTGGTTCTAAATATAAGACCAATTTATCATATTTATCAATTTTTTCTAAATTATCCCTATAGATACTCCCTTAGCCATAATTAAATAGAAGAGGGAGAGGGGTATTAAGAAAGATGATTATGGTGTTTTAGGAAAATATGTCATATTTCTTATAATTAACTATTTTACCTAACTTCCTTAATTTAATTAAATTAGTAAATGGGTTTTATTATAAAGATCGGAGGAGTAGTTTTTTTGGGAGAGTAAATAATGGTTTTATTTAATTCAAAAAATTACAAAATAATCTAACAAATAACTACTGAAAACAATCTATATCTACAAAATAATTGTTTAGGATTAACACATTTGAATGAATAATTATAAAAAATATAATTTCAAATGCCTTTGGAACTAATGGAGATATACATTTTCATTTGTTTTGGACCATGAATATAACATTGTCATAAGTCACAACTTCTCAAAATAGAGACCGAATTAAATTTATGATTTTAACACAATATTCTTTTTGCCAACATGTTGACACAATAGAAGCATCACCAAAATACCTCCAGAGCCACCACCTTCAGACAACTAAATTTGGAAAGATATTTATTGTTTTTTTAATCTTGTTTTAAGGAATGTAATTCTAGGATAGTTTTTATTTCTTTTTTAAAATTTTATTCTGGATAATTGTTATTCTATTTATTTTGAAACTTTGTGACGTTTTTTCGTTTTAATGGTATTTTGACTTTTTACCAAAGAAATAATAAAATATGGGAAATATATTTATAAATAAAATGACAATTTTATTGAAACAAAAACATTTCTAATTTTATTCCAAAAGCTTTTTAATTTTGCTACTATTTGATTTTGATAATTTTGACTGATTACAGATGAAAAGTTAATTTTTTAATAAATACCAAATCTCGACCAGTTATTACAAATTCTCACTTCATTTTTTTATAGGAAACAAATAGCGACCTTTTTTGTACTGAAAAAAAAGGTGAATTCAGTTTAAAACTTTAATTAAATATGTAATAGATAGAACTTTGCTCTAGTAATACCCTTATTTAGAGAAATTAATCAATTATGTTCATTTATTAATAAGATAATATCTTTTCTCATATGCTCTATACTACGATATATAAAGTAATAATTAAAAATTAAGATAAATTTTAAATATAAGGCTGATTGTTTCTTTATAAGACAACAAACTATACCTATACCCTTATATAAATAGAAGTGGAGGAACTAGTAGAGGAAGTATCTAATTAGTATATTTATAATAAAAGAAAAACAAGAGAAAAGAAATTATTTCCAAAGAAAGACAAGGTGTTGAAGACGGCCTTAATTTGTGAAGAGGACAATTTACAGGAATGGTTTGGAAAATTTTCCGCGGCTTCTCTCATTTCATTCCATTTCTTTTCTTATTTATGCAAGACGCATGCTGATGCTTAATCCCCTTCTATTCTTGAATTCTCTTCATTTTTTATCTTGTTTCTTAATCTGTCACCTTGCTCTCGCACACAAACCCATCATTGGCCCTGGGTTTGTGTTCGATATCACCCAATTTATACTTGCCTTTGTTCTTCTTCCCTCCGGATTTCAGGTACCCAAAACTTCTTTCTCTGCATTTTTGTTTCCCTCAAGGTTCTCTCAATTGCATCTTCTTCTATGGTTTTTTATTTTTCTTCGATGTTTCTCAATAATGGGTTTCGTTACTTTCATTGTTCTTACTTGGTCTGATTCAGTGCACATGTGCATTTTGATTTCGTTGTATACGAAATCGTAATAGTAATTAATGATGTTAAGGAGTTTATCTACATTTTCCTCATCCACCGTTATGTTTCTTAGCGAGCAAGGATCAACTTCTAATACCAAATTTGGATCAATATTTTAGTTTTACTCTAATTATCTTACTGCTGATTTGTTTCTGGTTATTATAATGGGGTTTCTCTAGAGAATATGTTTCTTGAACCTTCCAGTACACCGTCATCTTAGTACCTTGAGTATGAAGATATCTAATGTTCGAAAAATTTCATTGTTCCATTATACATCAGCAGATTATATATACTTCAGAATTTCTTGATATATTGATATACTTGATATCATCCAAGAGATCAGGTTTCTCAGAATGACATGATTTTGGCGGTACATCAGGAATGTTGAGATTATCACATCATGAATCTTTATCTTTGTGTTATTCTGTTAAGCACAGTTTTTAATTATTATTCTTTGGCTGTTTCTTATTAATTGCACTGCGGTTTTGAGTTTATTTTCAGGTTTTGTGAGAAGTGTTGGTTCTGTTACTGTTTGTGAAAATGTTTGGGTTTAGGAAAGCAGCCCCTCCAAAGGAGGAGAACCCCGCAGGCTCAGAATCTTCCGCTCCTCCTGAGACAACCGTTAAACCAGAAAGAAGAACAACCTCAGAACCTGTCATACCAGCACCAAAATCCAAAGGAAACTACTTTGATGACGACGATGGCGATGACGATTGGGGAAGAGGAAGAAAGACTTCTGCCACTTCATCATCTTCCTCGGCTGCTGCTAAAAACAGGTACAAGAACAATTTCCAGGACTCTGGGGGCCTAGAGAACCAGAGTGTCCAAGAGCTGGAAAACTATGCTGTATACAAGTCTGAAGAGACAACAAAGGATGTTAATAATTGTCTGAGGATAGCTGAGGACATCAAAGGGGATGCTACAAGGACCCTTGACATGCTGCACCAACAGGGTGAGCAAATCCACAGGACCCACAATATGATTGTTGAGACCGAGAAGGATTTAAGTCGGGTACATTCTGTTTCCTTATTGATTAATTTATTTGCAGTTTCTTAAGTGTTTCTTTTAATTGTTGAGACCGAGAAGGATTTGAGTCGGGTAAATTCTGTTTCCTAGAACACTATACAGTTTAGTGATGATACACCAAACTGTGAGGAGTTTGAAGTCTAAGAGAAGGATTTTCATGTGTTATGCCAAATCATGATTTATGGCTATAGACTTCTGAAATTAGTACTTTCTATATTGTTTTGCTCCTTTTGTTTCCTGGCTTTCTTTTCCATAGTTTGTAATATTATTTAAACATTCTTTCTGTTCATTAGGGTGAAAAACTGCTGAACAATCTTGGAGGCATGTTCTCTATGCCCTGGAAGCCAAAGAAGACCAGGGAGATTAAAGGCCCCATAATTACACCAGGTTTTCTTCTTAAGATTTCCTGTCTAATTTCCTCAGCGTACCTCATGATTCCAGAATCTTAGCCATAAATTCTCTTACATTCAGATATTTCTTAAAAAAAATTAATTTACTAACACTAACTGTTTTCACCTAGTAAACAAGAATTTACTAACACTCTATAGGCATTGTGTGAGGATCAAAATCATATAATCCAAAAAAATAGTATAGAAACAACAGCAATTTATTTTGTATATATTTTTTCAGTCCTAAATATAAGAGCTAGTAGAAGAGTATGGTTTGGTTTTAAATGTAAGATTTAATCTACTTATCTCTTATATTTAATTTTTTTCCCCCTAAACCTTCTTGTTGATCGCACAAGTTAAGGGAATTTTTCATTAAAGGAGTAGCCTCCAATGCAAATAATTAAATGGAATATTTGAAGAAAACTAAAACATATTTTTAACAAATACTGTAACTGAGTTAAACTGAGGAATATATAATTCCTGAACAAATTAAAATTGCTCTTGGGGAATTGCACAAAAGTCAAAAGCACAGAATCCTAGAAAGTGGCAAATAAACAGTACCATTTATTTTGTTTTTTCTTGGACCCCGAGTATGGTAAGAGTTTGATGTATCTTTTTTGCTTACAAAGGGGCAAGCCGAAGCTTGAAAGAAAACAAAAGCTACTAACCAATTACTAGAGGTTACTCCCTCCATCATCTGCTTCTTATCCAAAAGGATGCAGCGCCAGCAAGAGTTTGATATATCTAGTTGTCCTTTTATACATATTGACAAGTAAACTAGAATAGCTCCCGATGCATATTCCACAACGGTCAATAGCACATAATTCTATAAAGTAAATAACATGATTTATATGAATTTTTTATCCTGTTATCCAATGAATCATATTTTTTGCTATCCATCTGAATCTAGTTGAAAGTAACTCATGTGATGTACTATGATGTTTTGCTAAAAACATGACAATATCATGAAATTTAGTGTTTGATATCTGAACAGACAAGCCATCCAAGACAAATGATAAGCAGCATAAGGAAGAGAGGGAAAAATTAGGCCTAAATGATGGTAAAGGAAAGGCAGTTTCTAAAACACCTCCTTCTGAGCCAACAAATGCATATCAGAAAATTGAGGTAAGCATTCCTCATGGCGTATGCGTATTGACATATTGGTTATGATTTGTGGAAGCAACATCTTCTTTTGGGATCTCTCACAAAATGATTTCCACACAGATGGAGAAGAACAAACAAGATGGCGCACTTGATGATCTGAGTAATATCTTGGGCGATTTAAAGGGTATAGCAGTTGACATGGGAACTGAACTTGACAGGTAAAAACTGTATTATGATTTTATACTCCTTAAGTCCTTTTTAGCGCTTAGATATCAACAATCCCTAACATTTCATTAGTGTTTGTTGTCGTAGAATTGAGTTATGTTAGACATATATCGGTAAGATTTACTATGTATTTTTAGTTTGAGAGGTAAATTTTTTCAAGTGAAATGTTCATTAATGCAAACTCAAAACCATTATCAGTGTATTTAAGTCCAATGGTTTGGACAAAAAAGTTGGCCCAATTATAATACAGCTGAGTTCCAGACGTTTGTTTTTCAAATGGGTCTGATCATATGCACATGTAGGACATCATGTTAAAATGCAGTACGCAAATAATTACACATTATGCAAAACGAATACCTTCATAAAATGCTTGACTGGTGATTTATACACTAAATGGTTTCTTGCAGGCAAAACAAAGCACTTGATCATCTTAGTGATGATGTGGATGAACTGAATTCTCGAGTTAAGGGTGCCAACCAGCGTGCTCGTAAACTGCTAGCAAGTTAGCATACTTTGAAGAAGCTATTGAAAGTTCTTTTCCCCTTGTAAATGGTTTTTTCCCCCCGCTATCGATTGTGATTTTTCTTTGATCTTAAATTTGCTGCCCCTCCAGATTTATCTTTTTCTTGCGTACATTTGAATGTATTTTCTGCTCCTTTTTGGCGTTATGTAAACCTTCCTCTCAACTAAGATGTCTATTCTTCGTGTATGCAAGATCCTTCAATCTATCTACTTATGTACATATATATTATCTATAGCAAATTGCTCTGTTTCTAATTCATAAATCATTTATTTCCTAGGCTTCATGATCTCGCTAGACTCATTAATCTAGTTACCTTTATACCATGTGAAATAACTCATTTGTTAGGTTCTTGTTTCTTTTTTCCCGACTCCTTTGCTAGGGTTTTGACATAGGACGCTTGCAACTAGTTTCATGTACTATGGTCCTATTTATAACTATAAGTGAGTGGGAGAGTGTATGCATGCTCTCTCTGTTTTTCCCCCCCTATTTATGAGTTATATTACTAAGGAAAAATTAGAGATAAATCCCCCATTGAAAATTTAACTAGTAAATGGGGCCTAGGAGATTGATTGCACAAGGGAAGATTAGTTGCACACAAAGGATAATAAGTTGCACAAAGAGAAGATAGTTTGCACAAAACATTATTTGGATATAAACAATTAGTTTGCACATAGGAAAGATGAGTTGCACATAAGAGAATTTCATTTGCACAAAGGAAAATTGAGTTGCACGTCGCACAAAGGAAGATCATTGCACACAAAGGAAGATATATTGCATACAAGGGAAGATAAGTTGTACAAAAAGAAGTTAAGTTACACAAAATCCTTAGCTCTCATTTGCCAATTAAATTTTCAATGGGGGATTTATCCTCAATTTTCCCTATTATTAACTTTTTCATGTCAATGTATAATTTTTTTCTTTTATTTATTATTGTGTAAATTATTTTTTAAATACATATATATTAAATTAGGATAAAATTTGTTTTTAAAAAAGATTAAGGCTGATAAGGCTACATTATGATACTTTGGATTTATAGTAGTCATAGAATGGGTAGTGTTATGATTGGGATTATTCTTTTCAGGCTACCCATTATCCTATTTCTTTTCTGTGCTTGTCTTGTGTGTTTTGGGTTTTTTTGTTTTTTGTCTTTTTTGTTTTGTTTTCAGTAGCAGGTTTGCTTTTGGTGAACTTCTCTCACCAATGATATTTTTATGGCTTCACGTGGCTCAATTGGCACATCATGTCTCCCCTCACAAGGATGCCATGGGTTCTATACCCCATGGTGCCAGTTAAAGGTGGGTGTCCATGTGCCCGGAATGCGTGTATGAGTGGGTATCCTCCCCTATGTAAAAAAAAAAAAAAAAAGAATAAAATTATTAAATTTTAAGGTTAATATGGTTTAATTTTTTTTTTTTTAAATTTCAGTGAATCGTACTCTTTTAGCCAAACAAATCTTGGAAATTATGCATGCTTCTGCTCATTCCCTATTGTATTCTACAACAAGAATTAAACACTTGGATATTTATTCTCCCTCTTTGGTTAAGAAGCCCAATAATTCATGTTGGCTTTGGAAGGGCATCTTTGAATGTGCCAACCTCATTGCGAATAAACTTACATGGCAGGTAGGTAATGGCACTCTTATTTCAATTAACCCTCCTAAATGGTGTACCTGAAGAAGAATCATTTGAGCATTTTTGTTTTGTTTTGTTTGCGCAGGTAGGCAATGGCACTATTATTTCCATCCCAACCTGTAGACCAGTTTCATGGATACATGAATGTCTAAGAGAATATTTGTCAATGGCCGCAGTCTTCTGTCAGTGGTTCTTTTAATTAGTCTTCTGCTTTCTCAAGTACTGTCTCATATCTTAATTATAAGATCTTATTTATAAACTACAAACATAATCTTATACTTGGGAACGGAGGTAGTACTTTCTTTCATGGACTTCATTTTATTCTTGCACCTATCATCGCCAACGCCCTTCGCTAGCAGTATTGTATTGGCTCCAGTATTTTTTTTTTTCCTTTGATCCAACAAAGCTTTGGGGCGCATTGCATAATAGTCTTGCTGCTAATATTTGTTCATATTTAAAGTTTTTTTTATCCCCCCCCCCCAAAACTTTCCCCTGACAGTTTTTTTTTTTAATTTTGGGTTAAAGTGTATCCAATATTTTGTAGTAATTTTTTAGATGCTGGAAGCATTTTATAGTGCATCTAATATTTTGAAGTATTTTTTTGCCTTTAACGTGCTAAACATATCTAGAAAAATATTTTAAAATGCTAATGTATTTGAGAAGATGATTCAGAGTACTGAATATACTACAAAATATTTTCAGATGTTGGATATATATAAGAAAATATTTCGAAATGCTGATGTACCTCAACCTTTTAATTTTTTAGGGTAATCTGGATCTCCTATTAAATTTGTATTTTTGAACATAAAATTGGTTTTTAATTGGGAAAAATTCCCAACAAGCACCCACAATTTGAAAGAATTGAATTACGCTTATGTCACTAATTTGAGAATTGACGCCACATGTAATACTTCTAACCACTTTATAAGGAAAAGTAGCTAAACAAAGTTGTAGAATCAAAATGGTAAAAAATATTATTACTTTTTAAAATTATCTCCAATTAAAATCAATATATTCTACAAAATAATTTAAGGATATTAATTTTTTTTACCAAGTGACATATATTTAAAAATATAAAAACATCCCAAACATAGGAAGAACTCCAAAGAACTAACACTTGAATTTCAAAATCCCATGTGAATTTAACAAATTCCAAATTAGTCATAACGTAATTTTAAATTAAGAAAAAATCTCAGAAAAAATCTTTCAAAATTTAAAATTTCAAATCAGTCTTGTTTATTATTATTATTTTTTTGAACTCGCATTTTTGTTTGTTATATTTTTTTTTTTGAATTAGTAGAGGCAAACGAAGCTTGATACAAACAAAAGACTAGGAGAGCTTAGCTCCTATCACGTGCATATTGGGCTGCACAAACAGAAATAACAGAGTCAAAAAATATGGGTGTCGTGTTCGCAACATGAGCATTCTTAGCCGGGAGATCAGTACATGTTAGTGCTTCTCTATGCGAGTGATGCAGTTCAAAGATCCAGATCTCGGCTATAGTTAGGCGAATTTCGTGGATAATATTCCAAAGAGGGTGTCCTTGATTACCATCTCTAAAGATCAGATTAATGGCTTCCAAGGAGTTAGAGAACATGGAGACTTTCTTACCCCCCGCTTGGATGAGAAGAAAAGTTGGGAAGAAAGAAAATGAGAGGAAAGAAAATGAAGAGAAGAGAAAACTGAAAGGAAAATATTATCACTCTTCCTGCTTGGATGAGTGAGAGAAAACAGAGAGGAAAGAAAATGTAAAAATATAAGGATGACTAAAATGTCCTTATTATAATTAATTGGCAAGGAAACCAAATAATTTAGTAAAAAAATTATTTTTTATGTAAAAATAAAAAGGAAATAATTTTTGAACTTAATTAAAATAAAATGAAATAAATAACTTATATATTATGTAATATTTTAATAAAATGATAACGAACTCATTAGCATAATACCTATTAGCATAATGCCCATCTCGTTATTCCTTCAAGTGATAATGTTTGGCGGGAGAGGGTAGTGAGGGAATGATCTGAAATGGTGAAAATCTCTCCACTTGTGGAGAGAAATTTTGAGAGGAAAATAGGACATGGGGCCCACCACATTTTTCCTCCCACTTTTCTTTCCTCTCCTATTTTCTTTCCCATCCAAGCAGGGGAAAAGTTCATTCCTCTCCCATTTTCCACTCCACTTTTCCTTCCTCTCCTATTTTCACTCAATCCAAGCAGAGCATTAAAGTTCTTCTTCTGACAGGTTCGTAGTCCAGTGAGAATGGCGAGTAATTTAGCTCTAGCGGGGGAGACGAAGCCCAAATGTTGTTTGAATCCTAGTACCCATAAACCTTCTGAGTTTCGAATGATTCCTCCACATGCACCGTGTTGAAGATTGGTGACGGAAGCGTCTACGTCAATCCTAAGGAAGTCACGCTGACATGGGGTCCATCTTGCTGTATCTCTACTTGAAATTTGAAGAATCGTGTTGGTAAAGTTTCGGTGATCTCTATCTTCCAACAATTTATGAAGACAAATATTCCTGATAGTTGAGGGGTGGTAGTCTTTCCCTTCAAACACTTTCTTGCATCTTGATGTCTATAGCAACCAACAGATGGTACAGAAGACTTGTTGCTATGACCATTTTTTGAAGATATGCATTCCAGCTTTGTTTATGAGGTTCCAATCCATCCATACCCGCAAGTTACCAGCAAAAAATCACGAGACACTCTTGGCAATCTCACAGTCTCTCAGGATATGGATAGTGTTTTCCTCACAATCACACATATAGGGACAAGAACTATCAGAAGTGAGTTTCATTTGAGCTCTCGGGTAGTTTGTAGGGAGTCTATCATTGATACCTTGCCAGAGGAAGTATTTTAGTTTCTCTGAAGTCGGACATTTCCATATCCTCTTCCAAACAGGACAGTAGCTTGAGTCGGGAGCATGTTTAATAAACTGATAAGCTGCTTTAATTGAGAAGTTTCCATCATTGGATGGTCTCCAACAATATTGGTCTTCAGAGAGCTGTCTATTAATTCTGGTGGAGACAATTTTGTTTACAATTGCCTGAGGGAGGACTTTATTGTAGGCAGCAATGTCCCATTCTCCATTGGGGAGAAGAAAAGCATTGACAGAGGCTTCGGTGTCCAGATTGTTAGTGGTAGAATCTATATGACAGATGAGAGGATTGTTTAAAGGAGACCACTTATCCCACCAAAATCTCGTATTTAAGCCATTACCAATTTTCCTTCCCACTCCTTCAACAAATTGGTCCCACATTTTGACAATGCTACGCCAAGTAAGAGAGGCCGAATTTTTGTTTTGAATATGGGGAAAACCATTGATTGCAGGCATACTTGGCTCTTAAACAT